GCAGATCTACAAAGTTTGAAATTATCCAGTTGTGCCTGGCCTTGGGTCTGGCTGCTGTGCTCAGCTCCTTCCGGCTGCAGCCCTTGGAAATAAATCTGTTGTTCCCCTCTGGCAAGATGTTCTGCTCCTGGACTAGCTGGGTGGTTCTGTCACCTACTTTCTCTGCAGGGACTGCAGCTACAGAGTTTCACTCCAGGCCTGTATGCCAGGCCTGAGCTGAATCTGAAGGAGACAAAGGGTTGTAGGGGAGAAGGAAAGCTCTCCTACACACTAGCTGGGCCTGGGCTTGGGCTGGTTCTGGTGGTCCCGAGAATGTGGCAGAAGTTCTCACTAAGCACGCATGGGGATTGGCACTCTGGAGTGATGGGGTGTCCCGAGGGCATGGCCGAGGGTCTCACGAGGCATGCCTGGGTTTGGACCGCAGAGGTCCGTTGTGTGCAGGGTGGCAGGAAGCTCTCCCACACACTCGCTATGCCTGCTCTTGGGCTGGACCTGGGGGTCTCGAGAATGCAACAGAAGTTCTCACTCACTTGGCACACATGAGGAGGGTCTCCGGAGTGGTAAAGTTGTCCCAAGGGTGCGGCAGATGGTCTCACTCATGCGTTGTGCCTGGGTTTGGACCTGAGAGGTCCTGCAGGTGCAGTTTAGCTGGCCAAATAAATATTTTAAAAAACCAACAACAACTAGTATTGGAGGTTCTAGTTGACCCAGCTAGTCCTTTCTTCGTTTTCCCAAAAGAATTAAAAGTAGCATACCACAATCATATATGTGCACCCATGTTTATAGCAGCACAATTCATAATTGCTAAATCTTGGAAATAACCCAAATGCCTATTAACTGATCAATGAATAAAAAAGATGTGTTTTTTTAAAAATATAATGGAATAACTACTCTGCCATACAGGATAAACTTGAGACATTTATTGCTAAGTGGATGGACCTTGAGACCATACTTTTGAGTGAAATAAATTGGATGTTTGATATTCAGACAGATAGTTAGGTTAAATCCAACTGCATATGTTGTAGGGTAATAAGCTTCTCTTCTGAAGTGTTAACAACCTAAGTTTGCAGACCAAAATTAAAGAAAAAGAAGGGCTCTAAGGACAGCCAACATTTTGGCCCTAGCCTTTCAAGGTCAGTGAAGACTCAGGACATAGGAGAATCTATACTGTAACATCATGTAACTCAGTTTTGTCCCAAATTTTTGATCAAGGAGATTATGAGACCACAGAGGAATGTGATCGATGATGTAAAGTGTTCCTAAGGAGAGTCACATGGAGAGAAAACATTCTCTCAGGCTTTCACAGAGAGCAAATTTGTCCAGCAATGGCCGTGACTCATCCACATGGCTGACACTGACAAAGGATCTAGAAAGTGCGGTACAGGGTTTCAAGAAAAATCCTAAGTGGACTTGACTGACCTTATCAGATACAAAAGTTACATTTCTTATTATATAGGTCTTGCTTTATCTTGGTTTTAACCATCCAGAAGAAAGGTATAAAAAGGAGGTATAAGGGGTGAAGCCATGTTGGTATGCTGGGCTGTAAAGGGCTCAGGTCAACAACTTCTGACATTGCCAGTCCTGTGGATGACCCACTACTATTATGGACTACTGGACTATATTGGAATGTTTTGCTGAATTCACGCATCTACAATATTTAAATGACAATGGAATACCCATCTCTGACAAAACTAAACAAAAAATGGGGATGCAAATGAATGACCATTTTGTATCTGTATTCAAAATAGTTAGCATAGATATACAGCTACATTCTTATAATTCAATGAATAAGAAGATCTGTTCTAATAGTGTTTGTGAACAGGATGTCATGTCTGCATCTTGTACAATGAATAACCACTGAGACAACAATGTGCAATGTATTTTTTATTGAAACTGTCCTACTGATCGGTTTTGAAACTGTCTCATTGATATTCGTTTCTCAATAAAATTCTTTAAAAAATGAATATTTACACACATGTGTAAGAATCACATTGTTTTACTGGTATGAGTAACTGAAAGTATAAGTAACAACCAAATTGTACAAGAGATATGGTGAAATGGGAAGAAATTGCTCAAAAGGAAAGGGGAACTGGGAGGAGGGGTGAAGGAAGGAAGGGAAAAGAAAATAAGAGAAAAGAAAGATAAAATGGAAACAAAGCTTTGTAAATAAGGAGGGGAAGAGGGATTGAAGGGAGCAGGAGAGGATTGGGAAGAAAGCAAAAGACAAATGAAGGTATATTATGTACAGGTACACATCCCTGTGATGAATGTGATCATTGTGTATACCTAAATTGTACCAATAAACTTAATTAATTTTTAAACCAAAAAAAATTTTTAAATGTTCACAGGCATAAGGAAACAATAGTCTGTCTTTCTTTGATATAATAGTGTTGTGTTTTTACAATTTAACTTGTTCATGTATTTTATATTAGTTTACTCCTCGTTTATTCTAATTTCTCATTTCTTTTTCATCCTGTTTCTTAAGTATGTTGTCTTAATTTTTCTTCATTTATAGTGGATATTTTCTTCTTTCTAAGAAGAATGCCTAAATCTATTGTTCCTCCATTAGTTCATCAGTATAAAATTCTACTTCATCTTGGGCACAGACACTCTTTTTGAAAAAATATTTTTTATTGAGAAACAAATACCAATGAGACAGTTTCAAAATCCATTACTAGCACAGTTTCAATAATTAATACATTGCATATTGTTTTCTTAGTGGTTATTCGTTGTACAAGATGCAGACATGATATCCTGTCCACAGACACTATTAGAACAAATCTCTCTATTCATTGAATTAAGAGAAAGTAGCTGTATGTCTATCCTATTTTGAATATACAGATACAAAATGGTCCTTCGTTTGTATCCCCCTTTTTTGTTTAGTTTTGTCAGAGAAGGGTATTCCATTGTCATTCAAATATTCCAGGTGCATGAATTCAGAAAAATATTCCAATATAGTCCAGTAGTCCATAATAGTAGCGGGTTTTCCGTAAGACTGGCAATGTCAGAAGTTTCAGTCAACATTCTTGAATGCTTACATAGTCAAGGAAATGCATTAGTTCTAGGGAATATAAAAAGTTGTCTGGGTTCCTCGAGGGTAGGAGTAGTGAGCCTAATGTGGGAGAAAATACACACAGATGAATATACTAGGCACAGAGCAGAAAGCAAAAAGTGCCATGAGGGAGAGTAGGAATCAGGAAAGCCTCAGCCTCAGGCCTTTCATTGCCATCTGTCCCAGGGCACAGACACTCTTTCCTCACTGATTTACTCAACAGCGGAAATAATTTTACCTGTGGTTATTTTTTGAGGTAATTAAAAATTTTTAGTTCCAATCTATTAGTATTTTCTTTATGGCATGTCTGTTGTCTTTAAAGAAACAAGTTTTTATCACAAATTCAGTCATATTTTCAACATCTGTTATACAGAACAGTGTTTATTTGGGGCCTGTCTCATAACTTTGGAGCCACATAGAATGGTTTTGACTGATCACTATTAAGCATCCCTTCTTGTATGCACAAAATTGAATAATAATAATTATGGCAAGATATACATGACAAAATTTTTGTGCAAATTATGTGAAGTAACTGCCTTTGCACTTGCATATTTCCTTATACACGTTGTCTAAAGTGCTATAGACCAGACCAGATGTGTTTAAATTTTGCATTTCTTTGAGAATTTGGAGTATTTGCATATATATATAATATATATATATATTATATATATATTATATATATATATAGTGGAATATCTTAGGATGGAATTCAAGTCTGTACAATATGCATATATATTTCACATTCACCTTATATGCATAGTCTGCAGGTAGTTTTATATAATACTTTATTGTACCTGCTTTCCTTCATATCTTCTCAATGTTTCATTTTATGTTTTTAATTATTAACACATTAACTTTACAAATTAGTGGGATTCACAGTAATAGTTCCTTATATACATATATCATGCACGCACCATGCCTGTCCGCTAGTAGCTCTTCCTCTTCCTCTACCTTCAGGTCAGCTTTTTTATTTTTTAATGATTTTTTATTTCCACATATGAGAAAAAACATGTATTACTTATCTTTTTGTGTGTGATTTATTTTGCTTAAAATTTATGTCCTTCAGTTCCACCCATTTTCCTGCAAATGACAGGATTTAATTGCTTATGGCTAAAAACTGTTTCATTGTACAGGTACCATACTTTATCACCTCATCTGTTGATGAGCAGTTATGCAGATTCCATACCTTGGCTGTTATGAATAGTGCCATAAATAACATGGGTATGCAAATATTTCTTCAGTATACTGACTTAATTTCCTGTAGATACATATGTAGGAGTGGGCTAGCTGGACCATGTATTAGTTCTGCTTTTATTTTTTGAGGAATCTCCATACTGTTATCCATAGTGGCTGTACTAACTTGCATCCCTACCAGCAGTGTGTAAAGGTACTTTATTATGCATGTTCTTTCTGGCAGTTGTTTTCTGCTTGGCACCTGCATTTTGACTGCCATTTATCACATGATGTAAGATGTGGAACTTTCCATTTGTGGTATTTAGTCCATGCTCAAAAAGTTGTAGATGCTGGATTTCAGATTTTTGGATTTGGGATGCTGAACCTGTACAACAGTACTTGCTGATATGTGTTAATTGTTTACATTGCACCAGTTTCATGTTGAGTCCCATACAAACATCATCTCATTTAATTTCCACAGCTATATGAGATAAAGTTTCAATTTATTTCAAAAGATAAAACTGAAAAAACTTTTTTACAGTTTCATAGCTAAAAGATGAAAGAGCTAGAACTTAAACTTTTATTAATTTCAGTCCAAACCTCATGGTCTTCTTCATATTCCATGTTGATTGACAAGTGTGGTAGGTGTTTCTAGGACTCTGTCTACACTGTAGCATCCAGTGTAGTGAACTCTGCTTTGCTGCTACAAGAGAACTATTTGCATGGTGATGCTCATGGCTGTATGATTCTGACCATGTGAATACTGTCTTTCCAGATTTTTTGGAGTGTCTGCAGAATCTCTGAGCTACAATCCTTAGTGAAACCTGTAGGATCTTCAGTCCTGACCCCAGAAGCTCCATTTGAGTCCATAGACCCTGCCAGACTTGGAGAACCCAGGAAGAACAAGAGGTCAGCAAGAGAGCCCTGGGGCTGAGCTCCAGTGTGAACATGGCGGCCAGTGGAGACTCTGTCCAGCCAGAGGGACGTGGCAACACCTGTGAGGTGAGGAGAAGGAGGTGGCAGGGGTCAGGAATTCATCCAGAACCTCAGAGCCCGAAGAAAGGAAGAATACTATGCTATCTTATTTTCATTTGCAGTATTTTTTGCAGTATCATTTTCCCCCCACATTTATTTACAGTGCTAGAGATAGAGCCTGGGGCCTTTCCCATGCTAGGCAAGTGCTGTGCTCCTGAGCTACATCCCCAGTCTCTCCACATTTTTATTGGTCATTTATTTACCTTTTGGAATTTTCATGTTTATTGCTGATTAATTTATCTTAGTTCATGGATTTAAAGCTTTTTAATATTAAGGTTAATAACATTTACCATTCTTGTATATTTTTGTGAATATTTTTGCCACTGTATGAATCACAATTAACTTATAGTTTCATTTGCAAGTAGAAAATGTATCAAATAGTTCTCTAATGCTGCATTTGAAAAATGGCCATTTTCTATTTCCTTAGATTCCTGTTCCCCAAAAGCAAATAGTTTTAGTCTTTTCATTAAAGATTAGGGCATCTTCTGTTAACTTACTATTATGAAAGTTTGAGATTTAGCTTTTCTATACACCTTCGACTCACATCCACATTTTCTGTAACTCCTTGCTCCTTAGATAAGGATTGCATATTTCACTCTTTTGATGAGGTTTACAATCAGTGTTTATTATTGTGATAATTTATAGTTGTCGTATATGTCTTGTGATTACTATTTCTGTACAACATCTTTTTCTTAAAGTTAACAATTGTCTAGTTTAGATATTTATTCATTTTACTATATACTTATCAGTAGTTCAACTCTAGAGAGGAAGTATAACTGCATGATGAGATATTTGCCTAGCATGTACAAGGCCCTAAATTTGATCCCTAGCATAGCAAATAAATAAATAAACAAATAATTCAATTCAAAATTATTCCCAAACATTCAGATCTCCACTGCACATACTCAAACATGTAGGTAATAATCATACCGATAACATGTTTCTATTTACTTATTTACAAATTATAATTATATAAAGTATGCATGCCATATTTGATATGTGTGTATATGAAATGTGACATGACTAAATCAAGCTGATTAACATCACCATACTTACCTATCATTTTTCATGATCAGACCTTTGAAATTATTACTTTGAAATATATAATGCATTGTTATTGACTGTAGTTACCCTGCTGTGCAATTTACAGTGATAATAATTATAAATACTTTTCAGGGTTTACCATGTGTCCAGTACTATTGCATGTACTCTATATGTGTTAGCTCCTTATGAAGTAAGAGCCATTTGTATTCTCATTTTGTTTATTTTTTAAATTAATATTTATTGCTACATGTTTGACATACATAATGATCATATTCATCATAGGAAATTTATACCTGTGTATAATGTATCTTTTTTTGTTTTTTAATATTCACATAGACCTTTATGTTTTTAAACAAACATTTACTTGAGAGACAGTATGGCAGTAACTGGTATATCATGACAAACAGGATGAAGACCAGAATGACAGCCATTCCAAGCATGACCCTGCTATTACACATTGCTATCTTCAGTGCAGTTGCTTAGTTCACAGGTATCAGCATATATAGTTAGTCAGGGTGAGAATCCTACCAATTAACTACTAGTTTCAAAAACCTGCTGAAGATTACCAGGACCATTGCCTTAACCATCTTGTGCATATAAATGTGTGGCTTTGCCCCTGTCATGTTTCCTAGCTTTTCTCCTTGCCCTCTCTTTTTTGTCTAATCCTTAAATTCTCGCTTTCTTTTTAATTGTGTTATACCTTTCTATTTTTATTTCTTCTTTTGAGTTCTTATGCTAGGGAGACTATATGACATTTACACATGTATGTCTGGTTTATTTCACATGAGTATATCTTCAAGAGGCATCCACTTAAATATAAAGGCTTCGAGTTTATCATTCTTTATAGCTGAGTAGTACCCCATTGTATAAAAATACATCTTTTTAAACCATTCCTCAGGAGACAGGCATCTTGGTTGTTTCCAAGATTTGACTATCACAAATTGTGCTGCTATAAACATGGGTGCACATATATCACTTTGATATGATGTTTTCAGTTCCTCAAGGAAAATTTCCAGTAGGGGGATAGCTAGTTTGAATGGGATTTCCAGTCCTAGGTTTTTAAGGAGTCTCCACACTGATTTCCATAATGGTTGCACCAGTCTCCATTCCCACCAGCAGTGGAGAAGGGCTCCTTTTTCCCCACAGCCTTTTCAACATTTGTTGTTGGGTGATTTCTTTCTGATAGCCATTCTTTCTGGGGAGAGATGGTATCTGAGTATTGTTTTAATTTGCATTTCACAGATGGCTAGTGATGTGGAGCATTTTTTCATATAATTATTAACTTCTTTAATTTTGTTCTCTGACAAGTGTGTATTCATCTCGGATGCCCGTTTCTGGATTGGGTCTTTAAATTTTGGGGCCCTCATGTTTTTTAGTTCTTTATAAATTCTAGACAGCAGACCTTTGTCTGAGTGCTTATTAGTTAAGATTTTTTTCCAAATTTATGGGTTGTCTTTTCACTTGTTGGCAGTGTAATATATCTTAATTCTTCTCTTCCCATTCTCCTCCCCTCCCTTCAACCCTTTTTTGTTTCCATTGTTTTCCTTTGATTCTCTTTTGAAAACTATTTCCTACCTTCCCTTCCCCCATCCCTCCCTTGTTTCCCTTCCCATTTGAACGTGTTCTTCCTACTTCCCAATAGCTAGCTATTCTCTACTTTGTTCCACATTTACCCTTTGGGTTTCTCACACAAGAGAAGCAATGTGATATTTAAACATATGTGTCTGATTTATTTCATTCAAAATTATGATCTCAAGGTACATCCTTTTACCTTAAAATGTCTCAAATTTATTTGTTTGAGATAGACTTTTTATGTACTTTAGGCTGGTCTTAAACTCACTCTGTGGTCCCGACTGTCATTGAACTTGTGGTGATCTTCCTGCATCAGTTTCCTGAGTAGCTGGGATTACAGGCAGGTGCCATCGCATGCACCAAGCTTATCCTTTGTTACGGCATGTTAGTACTGCATTATATATAAAAACCACATTTACTTTTCTGTTCATCCATTAATGAGCATATGGACTGTTTCCAAGATTTATTATTTCCATTCTAAGGAAAATTGCCGCCCACAGAGAGATAATACTAAAAGTATAGGAGTCTTCTCAAATGTGTTGGCATATGCTTATCATTTCACAACTTGGGAGGCTGAGGCAGGAGGGTTGCTACATGTTCAAAGTCAGTCTGTGCTACATAGTAAGTATAAGGTCAGCCCTATCTCATGTGAGACCTTCAGAAAAGCAAAAACAGTGGCTGGGGAGATGGCTCAGTAGAATAAGGCAAGCGCAAGGAACTGAGTTCAAGTCCTGGTTCCGCAAAAAAAAAAAAAAAGCAAAAACAAATAAAAGAGGACTTATATGCAGAAGAGATGAAGAACAACAAAGCACTAAGAGGCATCAGACTTCCCGGTAACTACAGACCTTACTGAACAGATATTTAACAAGCAAAAGTATTCACATGATTAATGGGCACCTAAGACAATACTCAGTCTTGTTAGTCACCAAGGAAATGCAAGTTTAAACCACAGTATAGTATCATTAAACCACACACATACACACACACACACACACACACACACACACACACAAATGGCTAATAGTAGGAAGAGTAACAAATGGCAGTACAGCAAGATGCCATAGCAAGGACGAGAAGCAGCGTAAGCTCTCATGCTGTTGATGGGAGTATAAATTGGAATGGCCTGGAAAATATTTAGCCTTAGTCATGCATGTGTATGTGAAGTATATGTGGAAGCAGTCCTCTTCCTAGAAGAAGATCCAACAGAACTACTTGGCTGAGGTACCAGGACATGTGTATAAGTGCTACACTATAGCATGACTTTTTTCTTTTTTTGAGACAGGATCTTGCTATAGTTCAGGCTGGCCTTGGCCTTGAACTTACTATATAGCCCAGGTTGGACTCGAACTGCCAGCGACCCTCCTGCCTCAGCCTTCCAAGTGTTGAGATTACAGGCATGTGCCACTATTCCCAGCTGTAGCATTACTTGTGATAGTCAGTAACTGGAAGTGATGAAAATGTCCATCTGTAATAAAATGGATTGGCAAATAGAACATAATAGTGAGTAAAGGGCCAGCCAAATAGCTCAGTAGATTAAAGCACCTGCAAGCAGGCTCAGGGGCCAGGGATTTGATCCCCAGGCCTGCTGTGCCGGCCCTGCCCCCGGAACACACTGAGATGTGGTGGTGATGGCCTGTAATATCAGCTCTTGGGAGGCTGTAAACAGAGGGATCACTACAAGTCTGATCTACTAGTGAAACCCTGAACACCATTCCCTAAAAACTAAAACAAAATAGTGAGTGAAAAATCAGGCATGAAAAAATGTAATTATTATTTCCATTTATATAGAATTTTAAGACAGGAAAAACAAAACCATATTGTACAGAGGTGAAAAACAAAGCCATATTGTACAGAGGTACATGTGTCAGTCGTAAAACTGAATGCAGAGCAAGGAAGCGCTCATCATCCCCAGCAGGACAGCTGTGTCCTTGATGAGTGATCTACAGACTGCTGTACAGAGGACTTGACTGACAGGGTTCTGTTTCCAAATGAGGTGATAAGTAGGTAGATATTTGCCTTGAAGAGTGTTTTGTTGTATTGTATTGTGTTGTATTATGTTTCAGTTTTTTGAGACAGGGTCTCACTATGTAGTTGAGGCTGACCTTGAACTTACTGTGTAGCCCAGGCTGGTCTCAATCAAACTCACAGTGATCCTCCTGCCTCACCCTCTGCAATGCTGGGATTACAGGTGTACACCACCATGCCCAGCATACCTTGAATAGTCAAACTGAATATTTATGTTTCAAGTATTTTTCTACATGGATGTTCTATTTCATGACAAGTCTTTCAAAAAGGAAAAAAGTTGACCCCATTAGCCCATATGCACTTCCCCAAAACAGCTAGTTGGTCTG